TTCTGGATGACTGAACAAGATCTCTGGTTAGACGGAACTTGTAAATGTTTCAGTTGGACAACCGCAAGTTCTGGTTAACCAAAAGTCTCGTTTAATTTACGAGGATCTTGTTAACTCGAACAGAATTCTGGTTATTCCAATTAAAATTCTGATCCGTTCAAATTTCATCAGACACTTGGTCAATCCAATTAAATTCCCTTTTTTTCCCGTGGAGGTTGGCAGACCGGCTCGATATTCGGTACTGTAGCCTCTCTCAGGAAATTAAGTCCCACCTTTTGAATTTTGCTACTTTCGTTTCTTCGGAACACAGCATGTCCACCATGATATGTGCGGGGTTATCACGTGGCACTCACTCCTCCCCGACTCCTTCAGAGACAAAATCGAGGATGTATTCCCGATTTAGATAACGACCTTATCGACACACGTCCGGCCCTCTCACCTCATCGCACTGTTCCGAGATCATCCGCCACTCTCACTTCCTCTTGCTCCCAAAGTCGCCCGAACCGTACGATGTCGGCGTCCGACACTTACGGTCGTTTCTTTCACGAGGAGTGGCTTTCTGAATCGGATTTCTCTCGCCCTTATCTCGCTGCACGTCCGTGTGATAACGGCTGCAGCGGCACGGCGCATTATATTTTACGCTTCCGAATGCTGAACCAACACACCAGCAGCGGCGGTTGCACCGAAGAGATTCCACTATGTGCCGAGACCCGTGTTCGTTCTTTTCTCGTGAACCGTTTCTCGTCGTTCGTCTAAACGCGCTCCCCTTTTAACGGGCCTATCAATATTGCAACACAGAAACTATCGATCTGCTGAGTGTATTTAAAGCACGTGAGGGGCCATAACTACGATCGCCGTTGGCGGATATACCTTCAGCCATGATGTAAGATCCCGCGAGAATATCGTTTGATGTCGTTGGAATGTGGCAGGATATATGTGCCGTCGCGAATATCGTCGCGAGTGCCGAGTCGATTTGCGATCGGCTGGGTAGGGTCGCTTAGCTGAATGCGAGGGTGGCCGTAAACGCGAGTCGCGATGGAATGGCTTGCGTATTATAGCTAGCCAGTTGTACTGATCCGCGTAAAACCGGTATGAGCAATTTTGCTACATGGAAGGACGATACATGATACATTTATGCGTTCGTTCAAATTCGTACATAGAGAGAATTTTATAGTAAAAGATACTCTTGAACCTTTTAACCAATATAGATCAACACTCTGCAGTGACCACTTTTTCATTTTTTATATGTGTTATTTTAAGAAATCTGAAACTATTAAAAACTACCTAAAATTGACTTTAGGAATACGCTCTCTTAGTATGTATACAGTTCGTCATGAAACATTCTGTATTTTCTCGTGATTGCATCACGTTGACATGATGAGGAAAAGAAAGCTCTAATGAGACGCGCTCGGTTTTATCTGAAACTCAATCTTAACGTTTGCAAAACGATGCTTTTATCAGTTCAAGTTCACTGTAACGGATTAACGAATAAATTCTCATGAGACAGAAAGCCACGCGAGAGAGAAAGAGAAAGAAAATTATTATTACAGAGATAATCATTATTCTTATCGCTAATAATATCGTTATTTTTATGTCGCGACGTTTCTCGCGAAGATACTTTACGAAATGCAATCTCGCGTGCAACTGTAATTAATACGATAACGCGGCTCCCTTTGTCGCGGTGAAGAACAAGCAGGACTCGTCTCGACCACGGCTGAACGGTAATATCCGTCCAACTAGCGATCGTAGTCATCTACTTGAACATCCTTAGGCTTTCACTCGCTGGCCACTGCACTTTGCGCTCAAACGATATATGTACGAACTTACGGTTTTGTCCGCCGCCGGCTTCCTTTTTTTAGTCTCTCGGCTTCTTTTATACGCAGCTACAACATATACGCGCGACCAGCATACTATTTAAATGTGTATACATATATTAGATGAACCCCGCGAAAGAAAGAGAGAGAGAGAGAGAGAGAGAGAGAGAGAGAGAGAGAGATAGAGAGAGAGAAGGAGCGCACGAATCGACTAACTGGCTTGAGACCGCGCACAACACCATCGAACCTCCGTCCCGCATCGAAAGAAGGAACGTTTTGCACGGGCTTGCTTGATAACGACCTTGTCATCACACGTAACACACATACATGTACACGCACTTTGTTGTTGACACGATACCCTTTCGGGGCCGCACTGATGTTCGATACACCCGACCGATACGGTGGCGCCCTACGGGAACGAGCACCGTATCTGTCTGCATGTTGAAACGCGCGACAAACGTGACTTCTCCCCTCGCTGACTTCCTGGATTTTGCTTACGAGATTACGTTGTACATGAGGAAGGTACATTCGGGGGCGATTCGCGTCGAGCGGCAAGAATAGCGACACGAGTACACAGAGAGAAATGATCTAATGAAACATTGTCAAACGGATATTCCCGACCAAAGTCCGATCAATTTTCTATATATTCGATCAGGAGACATCCGACGAGAAATGTCGATTCCTAATTTTTTTATCGCTTTACCTGGTGAAATGTCATTAACAATCGGAAGTGATCCGACTAAATTTCACCGAATATTTTCATCGGATCTTGATCGGAATTATCCGTTTGATAATTGTTTTTGTCAAGTAAGTTCTCTCGGGATTGCCAATATGTGAGAGGCTATTTTCTTTTCGTGAAACCGGACGACCCGTCGTCGAACTTTCTCGTTGAATCGTCGACACGTCAGCGACGTGTGTGACATAGTAACGATTGGATAGACTCGCTTTTACTAACGTACCTCCGCTTGATTTTTCATTCACCTCTCGCGTCAGGCTGTACAATCTCTTTTCTCTCTTTTTTTTCTCAAGAGAGAAGTATACAAGCACGTGAAATCACATGTCCGAGTTTCCGGACCATATGCCATTCCGGGAGCTCTCATCGTGCTCGCCTCCGAATGTACAGCTCCTCCCACTTACTTACTGTATAAATTTGCGAAGCAAGCTCCCTTGTTATTTACTTTTACGTTGAGTAACCTCATGATTTCGCTGAGTCCTCGAAGCGACGAATTGATTTCGCATTGTAGCGATTGCACTGGCGTGAGAATAGACAGAGATAGCAAGGGTTGGGCGGGGGAGGGTGGGTGGGCAGGGGAGGGGACGGGGATGGCCAAGAGAAGGGTTTCGCAACGGACTGGTGGTGACTTCTCTCTTCTGGGGTGCAAGAAAGAGAGAAAGGTGGGTGGGACACGAGGGGCTCGGGCAAGGGAGCGGGGTTTTGAAGGGACATACAGAGATGTTTTATACACGGAACGGAAACTTGGTTCGTGTAACTGATTTTCTGTCGTCTGGGGACCAGACGAGGACTCGGCTGTAGGAGTAGGAAGATTCCCGTGTACGAGACTTCTGATGGATATATTCATAATCAATTGTCTCGAGTGAGTCTTAACTAAGCGGCCGGATATTTTCGGTCGAGATATATCATTCCGAGTTTAGCGTCTGTTCCCCATGCTGTTACACAAACTGAGATTTTTTTTCCCGTGTACGCTGGCCGAACAATGCAATGAAACTTGTGTGAGTCGAGCGACGTCGGGCAGACTGCGTTTGAACGACGAGACAGTTCCTCGGTGTGAAGCGAAGCTGCTGAGTCGGCGTCTCTCTTGGCGTAGAGAATGCAATCGTTTCGCCCCGTCGATTTACACTCGGGTCGCCGAGGTCGACATGTCCTCTCGGTTTCGACAGAGGTTCGATTAATTACAAAGAGCTATTCGTACGTTCGTTCGTTCGTTCGTTCGTTCGTTCGTTCGTTTATTATCAGCATCGTGGTTGGAGAGCCGTTTCGCTTTCTCTCGGCGAACTCTCACCCCATGAATTCTGCTTTCCCGATTTCTCCTGGTTGCGCGAGGAAGATTCCTCTCGGCATCCTCGATCTGGCGGGCCCGATCATCAGTTGTGCTTCTCTTCATCCGAAACGCGCATAGAAGCGCGACTCCCGTGTGTGTACTCGCTACTAATCAGTGCTTCGTGATATTTCCGTAACATCATCGTGCTGGAAGTTAATCTTGACGACGGCAATGCTGTCCTTCTCGGAGCTCACTGATCTTGAGAGGTGCTTTCAGCAGTTTCGAGAGATCGTTCATATTTTACGACTCGTGTAAAATAAAGGTCGCAAACGAGATGTTCGAGGTAATTGGTCGTGTAAGATGAAACCTGCACGTAAAGGAGTCGTCGTCGTAAAGGTGTTAACAACCAGAGAGTACGATCGAAGAGGGTTGCTTTACGCGTGTCGCCAGTTATCGCTTGCTTGACTGTAAATATCGCAATATGCGCCACGAAATTGTACATTATCAGGTATATTTATGTATATTCGCTTTCTTTTTTATCGTTATACAAAGCCTTTTAATCGTCTCTATTGGCTTCGTTATTATAATGCATTCCCGCAGCGGGAGCTTTCATCTTTTTACCGCAAATTGCCGATAATTGTATCGCTTGCGAAGTATTCGAGCCGGCGATTGTTGTTTTGATCGTGTTTACGATTGTTGTACATACGTGTCGTCTTGACAGTCCAGTGTTTCCTGGTTTGTGCGCTGGCAATGCTTTCCTCGACTAAACTCGTCGCGGCGGCGTCGTGATCTTACGGAGCGGTTCGCGTAGGCAACGTCTCGATCTCGATGAGAAATCACGCTCGAGTTATTCCGTTTTCTAGCGATTGTTGGATCGTCGGATTTATCATTCGTCGTAACGATTTCGTACCTTCGCGTATCTCGCTCGTAGAGGCTAGAGAGAAAATACCAGGCGAGTCACTCGTTATCCTTCACTTCTCTGTCTCATGATACGATTCAGGAATCGAGCTATCACGGTTACGTAGATAGATTCAGGATATTCGGATATGAATCGGCAAAGACTCGATAAAGACGGACAAAGAGAGAAAGAGATGAAGAGAGGGAAGGTTGTTTTGTAAGCGTAACACGTAGAGCAGGTAGCTCGCGACAGACTCCATTTGACCGGTTGACTCGTCGCTTCTTCCAGGTGATAGCTGTGATATCAATACTCTTTATTGTGCTTTCGACGATCGCACTAACTCTCAACACCATTCCTAGTATGCAAGTGAATGATGAGAAGGGGAACTTAGACAATCCGCAGCTCGCTATGGTGGAGGCCGTGTGCATCACGTGGTTCACCCTCGAGTACATGCTTAGGTTCAGTGCCTCGCCGGACAAGTGGAAGTTCTTCAAGGGCGGTCTTAACGTGATCGATCTGTTGGCGATACTGCCGTACTTCGTATCTCTGTTCCTGGTCGAGACGAACAAGAACGCGACCGACCAGTTCCAGGACGTGCGCAGGGTAGTGCAGATCTTTCGTATAATGCGGATCCTGAGGATCCTGAAGCTGGCCCGCCACTCGACCGGGCTGCAGAGCCTCGGCTTCACCCTACGTAACTCGTACAAGGAGCTGGGCCTGCTGATGCTCTTCCTGGCGATGGGTGTCCTCATATTCTCGAGCCTCGCCTACTTCGCCGAGAAGGAGGAGCCCGGGACCAAATTCATAAGCATTCCAGAGACCTTCTGGTGGGCGGGCATCACTATGACCACCGTCGGATACGGCGACATCTACCCCACGACCCCGCTCGGCAAGGTGATCGGCAGTGTGTGTTGTATATGTGGTGTCCTGGTAATCGCGTTGCCCATTCCCATTATCGTCAACAACTTCGCCGAATTCTACAAGAATCAGATGAGACGAGAGAAGGCTCTCAAGAGGCGGGAGGCCCTCGAGAGGGCCAAGCGGGAGGGCAGCATCGTGTCCTTTCATCACATCAACCTGAGGGACGCCTTCGCCAAGAGCATGGATCTCATCGACGTCATCGTCGACACCGGTAAGCGACGGACCACGCGCAGGGATACGCTCTGTGTCATACGGCAGATACCATCATCGAACTCCCGGGCTGACCCCCGATGGATCACGGTCCTTTCTCTTGTCTGCCGTTTCTTTCTCTCTTTATTTGCGTTTTCCCGAATTGTCAGTCGCGATATCGCGGCGCGAAAAGACCGGACTTAAAGCTTCTGCGAGCGCGTTACTCCGCTCGAATCGTAGTGATCGCTCGGAGCAAAGTCGAGCCGAGTCAGTATTCACGAGGCATGCTTCAGCGCGGCACAAAGATGTCACCCGAGCAAACCACGAGAGTTAGACTCGTCTCGTTCGTGCCCCGAAGCAATTCTCGTTCAATAGTCGAGAGAGAGAGAGAGAGAGAGAGAGAGAGAGAGAGAGAGAGAGAGAGACAAAGGGAGAGAGAGCGAGAGAAAAAAAGAGAGAAATTATAATATATTAATAAACATTAAATATTTTATAACATTTTTTAGTTATACAATTTTAATTAAGTGTAAAATGCATAGAAATTATGAATAACAATGTAACAGATTAGAATCATTTCTCATACGCGGATCATTGGGAATACATTTTGTAAACAATTTCGAGAGAGAGAGAGAGAGAGAGAGAGAGAGAGAGAGAGAGAGAGAG